CTCTCTCTCTCTCTCGCTCTCTCTCTTTCCCTCGTCCATATCTTAAATCTTCTCTACCTTGCAAGCCTTATACGAGTCGCATCTGATTATATAAATATAACGTAGTTTCTCTATCAAACATCTATCCCCGTCCTCTCTGGGCCTATGTCTCTATTGAATATACCCACATATATTATTCATTAATAATAAATAGCGCAAGGTAACGACCGACTGCCACTACAACCTACTTTCTTTTCATGTTTCCCTCCAGAGAGGACCTGGTATTTCAGGCGACCTTCACCTTGTAGGCCCTCGCGGTGGCTCTATACACGCGAGGATCCGAGGCACCGCTGGAGGACGGAGAAATTCTTATTCTATAGTATGTTCATGTTCTCCAGATCTTTCTTCTCTCAATATAATACTATTACGCAAAAAGCTCATCATTCTGCTTCTTCTTCTTCAGGTGTAAGGTCTGGAGAGGACATTGGCGATCATGGCACTCTATTCCTTCCTGTTGTCTGTCTTCTTGATCAGCTCGGTTATTCTCTTTGTGTTATTTATTGTAAAGTTGTTCAGGGCATGTATGTGTATTGTTTATTGTCTTCCTCTGCTCTTCATTATTAACATCATAAAAAGATCTATTAATTTTCTGCTGTTCATTTCTTCCAGAGGGGGCCTCGTATCACCGGCGACCTTCGTATCTCGGGACCCTACGGAGGCTCGGTACGCGGGAAGATCAGAGGTGGCCTTGGAGGATCTCTCTCTCGTGGCCTCAAAGGACGCCTGGACGGAGCTTTCGAAACAGTTAGCCCCTTCAGCGGCCGGAGGACAAGCCGCGTGAGCTCCTTGAGGGGCGCCTTGAAAGCTGGCCGCAAAGGCTTCGGCGGGAGTCTGGCTGGACGCGCGGAGCGACGCGTGGAGAACGTGTTTGGGGAGACGATCGGACTGCGCGGGTACGAGGGAGGAATCCAGGGAGGAGTGGAACTCCCCGTCATCGCTGACCACGTACAGGTCAGGGTTGTTGGATCAGATATTGGACGTGAGTACAAAGAATGCGTGTTTTGTTTTGTTTTGTTTTGGTTTGGTTTGGATTGGTTTGGCTTTTTGTTTTGGCTTTAAAAAAAAATTCTGTGATTATAATTTGTTTTTTGATTTTAGAGGGGGGAAGGGGAGCTGGAAGTGGCTTATTTTGATGAAAATTTCCCACTGATCCAGGCATTTGCATGTTTCAGATCTGCCTTTTCGTTCTTTCTTTCTCTCTTTCTCTCACTGTTACACACGCAAACATGCACACGCGCGCGTGCACACACACACACACACACACACACACACACACACACACACACATACACACAAACACACACACACATACGAGGGGCATATCAAACGTTTTTTTACCTGACCATGAAGGAATAAAGGAACAAAGCTGGAATTTGGTACTGAGCTTAGTCTTTCTCTATGTAGTCGCCTCCCACAGTACACATTTTTGCCTTCAGTGTGTGGCCTTGAAAAGACCCTGAGAATAGAGGACCTCTCTCTGTCGGGAAACCAGCCCTCTAATGCCCACGAACCTGCATTTGCATTTTTTACACCAAAATTTCATCACAGCATAGTATGGGCAATCAATTCCATATGCGGCATGCATATTCGTAAAAATATCTAGGGTTCGAGGATCTCTCTCTCTCTCTCTCTCTCTCTCTCTCTCTCTC